AGTCACAACTGGCATGAATATGAGGGCATTCGTCATGCTGATCAAATATCTCAATAGGGACCACTAGCTCTAGATAGTAAAAGGCTCTCGTAAATTTTTGTAGCCTCCTTCTATTACTTCAGGAAAGAGAGACTAACAAGGATGCCTTTTTAAACACACAAACAGGTCATCTAGTGGAAACAGATGCCCGCTTCCACTAGTCCTGCTCACACCTGAAGAAGCAGCTCACATACACCTTGATGGTGGTGTGTGTGGGGGTGGGGTTTAAATTCATGCTGTTATCAACTTATTACTGAAGTCTAGTCAAACATCTGGGATAGCTCTGAGGTCTTCTTCTGGCAGCGAGATCCACAGTAGATAGTTTTGCACCACTGTTTAGAGCAGTGCATTCATACCACATTCTTTAGACCCCTGTCAAGAAAAGCCTTGGTTTTAATCAGATTACTTTTCTTCCTCCAGATGTAGCTCTTACTAGTGCAAGCACTCTAGCATACTTTCTGGGTACCCGAGAGGATAACATCAAACAAGTAATGGCAATGTGAATATGTGAACAAGCACCACTGCTGACCAATCTACAAACCTCAGACACTTCCTGTGTGCTGCACAAGATCTCTGTAGGTCAAGAGACATGAACTAACTTCCTGACCACAAGGAGGAAATTATGGAAGCTAGTCACACGAAAGATGTCACATTTCTTTGGTTGTATGATCAGTTAACCATGCTCCTTTTATTTTCAAGACTGGGAAGTAACCAGCAAAGGATCCTCCTCCTTGATGAACAGAGAGATGACCCCTCTGAGAGAAAAGAGGAAGGAGGAGACCCCAACAGCAGTAGAGACAGAGAGAAGGCACCACTGGGAACTTCATATGAATAGTTCTGACATCCTTAAAGATGCTCTGGCCCACTCCAGAGCTTCTCTGGTCACGAAAGATCCCACATACCTAAGGTTTACTAAGAGGGGGGACAACTGATTTCAGAATTAAGCTATTTGTTTCCGATCCCTTAACAGTTTCTCAACTGATTACGCTCAGAGATGAGCAGAAAGGAGTCACTGAACAAGGGACAGGACCTTCACTTTGCAGAACTGCCAGGGGATTTTCAGCTAGCTCAGTGTCTCTGTTGCAGAATTTGGGGCAGGAGGGCTGCTGGAGAACTCCAGCAAGTGCAACTTGTTGCACTTCCATTTAGACTCTTGCATAAATACTGAGGAATGAACTGGTGATCTAGAGTACTGCAGGATACCCACAGAAACCAGCCATTTTGGCACTGATCCCATCTATCCCTCAAGTGCTTTCTAAAAAATTTAGAATTCACAGACAAAACCCAATTGTGATAGCTACAAGAACTGTTCCAAGGCCACTGCTGCGATCAGACAAGAAGCCGCACCAGCCTTTTAGCAACACCTGCCCGTACAGTGCTTTCCACCATCATTCTGCATCATCTTGCTAACAGTAAAGACAGCTTCTCTCTGCTGTCAAACTGAAGCTTGTCCATGAAGTAGGTGAGTCCAGAACTGCAATTCCACAAATAAAACTCTTTTTCCTTTGTATGTGGCAGCTGGTACCCTGCCCTGTGCCAGGGGAAAGAAGCCAGGTAACTAAAACCTCTGTCTCCCCTCCATAAAGGAATATTTACATTCAGACACCCACAACACAACCGTTTTAGATCTGAGAGTTTTTTTTTTCCACTATTAAACAAATTACACAACTTTTTTTTTTGCATATAACATTTACATGTGAAATGAAAACATAAAACTAAGAGTTGAGAATTTGCTGCAGACTGTAAGCAGCAATAAGCTGGCATCAAATCAAAAAGGCAGGCACAGTACAAGGGGCAGCTCTGGTGCAAAGCATCACTTGTGACACTACACGTACACAGATACTGCTGTCCAAAAGAATGTTTTTGCATAAGGTACGCCACCTACATTGGAAAGTGCAAACAACTGGTTCAAATTATGAATGTATCTTCTTTGACCAATAATTTAATCCTGGGCCTTCTTACACACTTTTCACATAACCTATGCTAAAGGCGACTTCTAGTTTGTTTATAACAGAAGGACATTGATAAGAGGAAGAGACCACTCTCCTCCCATAAACATGTTTTCTTTTTCTCTCTCACATGACATCCAGCCCCCTTAAAGATGTAAAATCCATCAGACCTCAGGTAAGAACTTTAACCTATTTCAAAACCTCATCCTGAAAGCCTGAAGAGATCTAAACATGAAGAGTTCTTCTGCTAGTGCCATCACGGAAGCAAACAAGCTGCTTGCGTAACTGCAAAGAACAAAAGAGCATCTGTCAAAACACTTCTGTTTGGTCTTTACATTATGAATCAAGCTGCAAGCAGACACCTTCAAATGGCCAGTTTCTTGCTTTGCCTCTCTGGGCCTTTTCCTAGATGCTCTGTTAGCTTTTTCTTGCCCCTGTGTTAGTGATCAGACTGCAATATGAATTGTAGGCCTCCACGCAATATAAACATACAATGGCTGGACAAGTATGAGCAAATAGCTCACACTCCTTACTACTAATAGTTTTCTATCCAATCTGCTTTTTCAAATGGAGTTAGAGCAAAAAGGATTGAAGACTGCATCAGCAGCCATTGGTTGCTGTCTGCTGTGCAAGAGACAGAGTAGGCTAATATTTACCATATTGTTTATTAGTTCAGTTCTTTCACTCAAACAGCACATCCCTCTAAGGAAGAGATTAGAAAAAACGGCCACAGACTAGGAAAAAAAAGGATGACGGGAACAAGAGAGGGAATAAAATTTCCTTCCCTTTGTTGTCTGACTGGGCAGCAACTCAAACGGCAAAACTGCATGTAAAAGTAGCTCATGCTCTTAACACCTGTATTTCACCAGCCTCTGTCAACAAAGCTTCCAAAGGAAAGTGTATCTTTACTTCTCAGGGAGGCACTCAGTGAAAGATCAGTCAAACTACAAATGAAAGAAAACCTACCAAAAAATTCCTCAAAAAACCCCCAATTCCAAAAATCTCACCACTTGCATCCCCTAGGACAGTTAAACTTGAACCCTGTCATCTTGCCATACAGAATACATACTGTAGAGCTTAGACTGATGGAAGACCCAAAGGATAAGAGTAGCAAACTACCTAATCAGCCAACACTACATCTCTTCCCCATCAAGCCCTACAGAAGGTGTACAAGCAGCCTTTGTACTCAGGTTAGCAAACTCTCAACATTGGTTACAGGCCATTCTCAGAAACAGGATACTGCATGAGACAGACCTTTACTATCCTGGTGCAAGTTCTTCAGGTAAGTGAGGCTTCCTCAGCATTTTAATATTTTGGACATACTGTACATGTTAATTTTATTATGCAGTTTTTAGACAGTACAATTTAGAAACAGTTCAACTACTAAAACTGAAAAACTGTCAGGTAAGGCAGGTAAAAGTGGAAGAAAATGTTAAGTTGGTAAAAAGACACAAAGTGAACTGCTTTATATTTGTCTCTAAATTCCTGATCAGCTTGAGGCTCAAGCTGAAAACATCCATGTTTTGAAGCCCTGGGCTAAAATCATAATCAGTATTAGCGAAATAAAAATGCCCTTATGTGGTTTTACTGCACTAGGAGATCTCTACTCTTCCGCATCTATGAATTACAGTAGCTGAACTTACATGCCACCACTCTGGAGCCGCCCTTACTGTCCTGCAAGACAACCTGCATCAAGATACCATCCAATCCTACATATGTACATAAATTCCTTTCATTTCAGCCCTATTTTGTGGTCTAAAACATGCCATATTCACATATATAGGATATATACCTTACCTTTACATTCTGAAGAGAAGCCAGCTCAACAGCTTTCTGGGCCAAAGTTAGCAAATTGGCTTCTTGAGAAACACGCCGTCTCCGTCGTGTACTCTGGATTACACCACCTCTGACACCCTGAAAATCATTAGTTCTCTGAGTGTTTTCTTCAGCTGTTGCTGCCTGTTTCTCCCCCTCTTGACCATTCTGGGCTGGGGCTTGCCTGTCTGTTTCCATCTGGCACAGCTCATTATTGACCAGGACATCCTTCTGCCCCATATCCAATCTTTTGGGTTGCAAATAGGTACTTTTGTTGTGGTCCAACGATTCAGGCGGCTGCTGTAATGGGACCTCTTGCTGATGTGCTTGCCAGTGATGCAGAAATAAATTGCTAGGTTGTTCTTCTGCCTGCCTGGAAGTCAACACTTCTCCTGTAGATGTCAGCAGGACACCTTCTTTGGAGAGTCTCCGTGACCTTCTTGGAAAGGGAATCTGGGTCTGAGGTAGCACAGTCTGTTGGTTCTGCTCTGTTAGAGCCTTGAATAGTTCCTGGTTCCTCTCTGTTTGCTGAAACTGGTGTGCCATCATGTGATGCTGAGGTGCTGCAGCTGCCACATGAGGCTGTGCTATGGAAGTAGTCTGCTGCAGACTGAAGGCTTGTGTGGCAGCCTGTTGCTGCTGCTGCTGAGGATAGAAATTTTCAAACAGTTGTAGCTGAGGAAGAGCTTGCTGTTTTTGTTGAGCAGTAAATGCTGGACTGGAAGAAGCTGGGGCTTCTTGAAAGACATGTAACAATTCAGGAAGACCCTGCTTTTGGCCTTGGTGACCAAATGCAAGTTGGAAAGGCTGTAATGGCAGGCTTTGATTCTGCTGCTGCTGTTTCTGCATCTGATGAAAAGAATTCATCTGAGCCTGCTGTCTAACCAGGGCTTGCTGTTCCAGCTGAGCTTTCTGGGACATCATCTGCTGGACAGCATCTCCATACAAGTCCAGCTGTGACACAAACACTCCTTTCTCTTGATTTCTTTTAAGGGCTTCTGGGTGGCCATAAAAGCCCGGGGCACCAGCATTAGAGTGGGGTCCTTTTGGGTTGCCTCCAAAAACCATACTGTGGTTCCACACTGAAGGTGGAGCCTGCCAGTGGCTGTCACCCCTCTCTGGCAGCCGGTTCCCCATTAGTGAATTCTGCCATTTGACAGCTGTTACCGTCTGGGACATCATCATCGATTCTCCCCTATCTTGACTGTAAACAGAGTTCATCAAAGTGACATTGTTGGGGGCACTTGTTAACCCTCCTGCATGAGAAATCTCCACAGTCTGGGAGACCGGTATATTCCCTCCATGGCCATAGTACTGTCCTTCCTTAAGCTGCTGCGGTGGCTCTTTTGATGACACAGCTATTTCCTGCTCATTAAAGTAGGCAATTCGTTTCCCAGTCCTTTTGCTTGAAGACTTTTGCTGAGCCTGAAGATTCATGGTTCAGTTTATTCTCTGAGCTGCACACACGGTATTTACAATCCACCCATCCCTGAGGCTGGGGGAGGAAAGGCACAGATGTCTCTCTTTTCCATTCAGTTTTAGTAATAAAGGGCAGGAAAGCAGTCCAGATGAAAGTGCATCTACTTCCTTTTTCTTTGCATGCTTCTCCCACTTCTTTTCACTCTTATCCTTTGTGGTTCAGAGGTCAGTAGGGTCCACTTAGTTACAGGTCCTGAAATAGAGAAGCAATTGCAATGAATCACCAACAGACATAACTGGCATATAAACCCTCACGCGATAAGCAACAACGTGTATGTCTGTCCCATTTCCCACAGAAATGAAGATCAGGATAATATGTGTAAGAAAAAAATAGATCTGACCTGACAGAAGAATGCAAAGCAAAACAATTTAAGTTTCACAAAACAGATATCACACTGTATCTACATGCTGCAACTCCCAATTGCACACAGACTTCTGACTAACCACTCAAGCTCATCCTGAAGGTTTTTCCCTTAAAATCTCTCTCATCTGGCCAATTACTTCTATGTTTTCCTGTAGCCAGATTAATCTGTTTTTAATCTGAACCCAAAAAACGCAAAACCAAAAAAACTCTCATGACTCGCCAAAAGAAAAATAACGTGTCAGGCCACATTTCCTGAAGACATTTAAAACACACGCATGTACACAAAGGCTGCAGCCAAACACGCAGCAAGATGCTTCATTCAACGTTCTGAAGGAAAGAATCAGGCTGCAGCCCATCATTTACCCTCCTCCCACAATCATTACAGTTGCTTTCCAATTAAGAACTGCCCACCAAGCATCCAGGCACTGAAGATGGGGCCTGCTCAACCTGCTGCCCTCTCAGATGCTTTCTTTAACAGCTGAAAGCAACTGCTCCTGCTCAGGTCACACTCATGGAAAAGTAGTCCAGGCAGATTATTACAGCTGCTCCTGGACACCAGCAAACATTTCGTAGTGTAAAGCTACTAACATAACTAGAGAAAGCCTTTCTGGAACATGCAGTCTGTGACAATTCCACCCTCCTCTTCCATAGGAAAAAAGCTATCCACAAACTTAAGCTTTAAAAGCCTACTTTGCAGGATTGTTAACACGTACACTAGTATTTCTATTAGGATATCTAAAACCTTTTTAAAAGTTTAGTTTTAAATTTAATTAAATTCTTAAACTACTACTAACACTCAAGTAATTAAGTGCAAGTCTCTATTACTCTCTTTTCAACATGCACTCTGGTCCACTTTTCAGAAATATTTTAATAAGTTGTTAAAAACCTATATTTATTGCATCTCTTCTGCTATAAAATCACATTTCTCTTGAGCGGAGCAGGTAAGACTAACACACACATATCTCCAATGATACATGCAATCTATTTATCTCTATGTAAAATAAAATATATAAAATAAAGCAAAATCATACAGCACACTGAAGTCCCGTAACCTGAGTTTCCTCTAAACGGACATGGCTACAGTGCAGATTTTAATACTGGGGTGGGGTTGGGAGCATGAGGAGGAGGAAAAGACAAAGGGTTTAAATTGACTTACGCAACTTCCACCTTGGAGGCCAAGCTTGGCTTCAGTGCTACTGGAACCATGGGCCTGTGTTTCAGCCGAAGTGACTCACTTCCTCAGGCTGTTACAGAGCTGTTCCCCCCACGCTCCCTCCCCCTTCGCCCTGGCTACAAACCATGGACCTCTGCCACCCCGTATCACAGAGCCAGGGCGTTCCTCCCTCCTCTAAGCACAGCGTCTCGCCTCATTTTCCAGTCCTCTTTCAACAGGACAAAAATAACTCCAGAAGAAATTTTGGACACGTGAGATGGAAAATTCTCTCTAAACTGCAACTAGTACATAAACGAGGATTTCATAAAGTAAGTTTTTCCTATTTCAAAACTTCATTGGGAGAGGAAAAAAACATCCTACAGCAGGAAACTGGATCCCTGGTAGCAACAACACAGAGGTGGAAAGGCTGCCATATGCCTTTCAGGAGCATTAATGTTATTCTCTCCCCTTGCTTTTTGCAGCACTGCTGCAAATGTAACCGAGCTAACAGCTAAACCACAATACCCGAGGTAACACTACCAACAGTGGTTTCTGACACTATCTCACTTTCTGAAATCATCACAAGCTATTTTTCTCTCCAAACTAGACAACCTTGTAACAGTTTTCCTTCTACTGATCCTTCTACGTGCTTTTATATTGATCAATCACATAATTCTGACAAAAAGAACGCAAGTTTTCCTGTATACCAGAAGACATTACCACTAGATCAAATTTAAACCTGCCAGACAACCTTTAGGAGCTCTGCTGTAGATTTTCTACACTTTGAGGAACAATGGAAAGATAACTGCCCAAAAGCTGGCGTACAACTTCAAGCGTCCTTGTTTTTAACCCCTCTAAAAAAAAGAAAAAAAAAAAAAAGGAAAAGAAAATAAAAGAAAAACCACAGCTGATGCTGTTCTTAATAGTGGTGGCTGAGATTTACAACTACTACACACACAAGTATCCAGAGGACCTTTAGAAAGAGGGGTCTCAGGTTAGCGAGAAAGCATTGCCTTAGCACAGCTCTCCAAACCTCCACTCGCATGGACTTTTGGCTCTGTTTTTTCCATTACTAAGAAGCCACCAGCATTGCAAAGCCTAACTCAGATCACTTTATAACTGCACCTATCTAGGAAAGAGATGTAACAAAAGTACTAAGATGCAAAGTTTACAAAAAACTAAGTTCAGAGATAACCTAAAGGAGAGAGAAAGGATTGTGTATTTGTGTGTTGTATGAAGAGTCTAAAAAATATTCTATGTCTCTTAGGGAAGTTATCTTGTCACTTGAGAAGACTGTAGTGATGAAGAACAACTGAAATTACAACAGCACAGAAACCAGGATAGGGAAAGTTACATTACCCAGGAGGAAAGAAATTTAAGGTACTTCGAACAAAACACACTTATTGAACATCCCAGTTCTCCCAACTGCACACAAAAATAAATTTTAACTGAGAGATCACCAAGAAAAAAAGAGGATTTGGTGCATCCAGTTTTCAATGGTAGATGAAAACATCACAAAATTAGCTTTTTGGAATTCTTCCTATATTGAAAAACTGCAGAAAAATATCTTGCAGGTCATTCTAATAATAATAGTCCATAATTTAAGCTGAAGTGATAGATGTTCAAGCTGCAGCATGACTATGCTCCAGGAAAGCTCACACTTGGCAGCTTCACTGGCTGAGCACTGCTGGCTCTATGACTAAGCAGGCTTCCCTCCCTGGGTTGAGGGATGAGCTCACATTATCATCATCCTAGCCAATTACCAGCTTTGTGGTGTTTTTTTTTTTTTGGTTTTACTTGAATTTCAGCACAAGAGTCAGCCTGCAGTAGCACTGTAAAATGGCAACACACTTCAGGCTAAGTGTGCTTTGGAGCAGTACGCCCCTGACCACTTCTTACCTTTAAATAAAGCAGAACCAGCTCTGATACCATAATTCCCAGAAGATACTATGTCTCGCCTCCAAATATACTGAAGTGTTACGATGCCCTGCCGCACAGAGAAAAAGCAGAACCTAGCATCATTGTATTTTGTTTTAATAACTCCTAAGATTTGGCATGCAACATTAGTTATTTTCATTTCCAGGAACTTCTGGCATGCCAGAACATCTCTCAACCTTTCTTCAGATGAATACAAATTGTATGTCACCTCCTTTAATACTGTAAATATTTTCAGATTTCAAAGGAACTTTTCATGTTGCAGGGAAGAGGCACTCAGAGCCACTCACTAGGCTGGTACCAGCCCTGAACACCCATTAGCAGATTCTACTCAGCCCCAAGCAGGTTCTGCAGAATCGTTTAGATATCCCTACATTCATTGCAACCATCTTGTCCCAGTTTATCATTAGCCTGGAGAGTTTGCTATAAAAATTTTTAATATACCCCTTTTAATCAAAGGTAAAAGGCTATTTGATTTAGAGCACAAATTAAAAACACACCCTTGCAACCGTTTAATATAAAATATCTTTATCTCTCTTTAAATGTTTTTGCCTGTATTTTTAATGACAACCCATCATTATTCCACTTCTTTAAATACTCTCTTCACCAAGTGTGCACACATTTGTACAATTTCACTTATCAAGTTCATGACCTCACACACTATAGTAACCTTGAACTCTACCCTTCAGCCCATCCGTTGAGGGCTCTGCTGATCTGTGCTTTGCTTAGTTCATCTGCTATACCACCTATATTTGGCATGATAAGCAAATGTAAGTTTTGCACATTCCTAATCTCCTTTGAGATCATTTGCACAAAATTTTCTCTGACAGAATGCTGCAGAAATGACTCAGGAAAGACTCTGACTTCTCAAACCTTGGCAAAATTAAGGATGTAGCAAATAACAAGTGGTTACAGACCACATCACCACTTCAATCTTACCTTTTAAAAAAACCCTTACAATAAAAGTATTCATGGGAAAAATAAAAAGCATTCCTGGGTTCTAGCTCATGTACATTCTCCACCTTAACTGCAACAATGCTGTCACAGTCCTTACGTGAAGTCTGTCAAATCAGAGTGATGAGAATAATTTTGCATTAAATCCTCCTGCTGCCAGCAACTCAGATTACTGATCTCCACTGTAAGAAGCTCAATCACTTTTAATGACGATGAACAGATTCCAAGAACAATTTTTACAGTTAAGCCAAATGCAGCAAGCTATTCAGTGTCCTTCTGAGACAGAGCAATCGAGCCTTCCTTCTCTAATTTGCTCATTATTATGGTCAAATCCCACACTTATGAAAGAGGTAAAGAATCATGACACACATTTTAGTAACAAGGAGCAAAAACAGAGGAACTAACTCACTTCTAAGATCACACAACAAAGCAGGTCAAAAATCAAGAAGAGAATATGGGATACTAGCTACCAGTTCCCCTCCGATCCTGCGAGAAAACATGGGTTTGAAATCTATATGCAAAAGATAAAAATGGGGTGCACTATTTATGTGCAGAAAGGGCAAATAAAACTTAATTCCTCCAGTGCAATAGCAGGAGAGAAGTAGGTTTTGTTTCTGGTTTTGGTGGTTTGTTTCCTTAAAATGACTGGAGACTTACAGGGCATCACAAACAAGAAACTTGTTCCAGCTAACAGAAGTTTGCCCCTATAACACTACCACCTATTGCAACAGTCTTGAGTAAGAACCCAGAAAGCGATGAAAACACAGGACAGTTTTTGTGTTTGGCAGAAGATTTGCAAAGCT